GAGATGCAGACAACAGATAACGACAAGAAGGGATAGGACTACAAGACAACCGGCAGAGACTGGATTTCCATGTGTGTGTTGTGTGAGTGTGTGTTGTTGTGTGTGTTGCGTTGTGTGGGCGGTGAGGATGAGGAGGAAGAGGGCAACTGCATGGGCGCGGTGCAGGGCAAAAATAAAAACCCCACAGTGATGTGGGGAATAGGTCGCAGTCGCCCAGACGTCATCCCCCCCCACCTCCCATTCAGAGCTGAAAGACAATTGCAAGTCCAAGCCGGCATTTGCAGAAAGTCGAGTGGGCAAAAATACTGCAAAAACCGATGCGAAATGGGACACATACCGAAAATACCGAAAAAATGATGCGAAATGTAGAGCTGAACATGTTTTTGCACAGTGTAGCCTGCCGGCTGGCACACTGTTTCGCAACAAAACACCGCAACAACCGATGTGAAAGCAAAAGCAAAAATCAATTGCGAGCGAACAAAGTACCAAAATTCGAGTTTCAGCACATGCCAGCAAAGGAATCGCACCACCCCGCGCGGCGGCAGACGCAACGGCTGCCAAGAACACTAACCGCAGCAGCAACAACAACAACTGCAGCAGCAGCAGCAGCAGCCCCTTTTTGTGTTGAAATATCAAGGAGACGCGCGGGTTGAGCGCAAGACCGGGGTAATACTCCTAACATAGTAGAAACGATAGACTAACAAGCTCATATACAAAAATAATGCAAAGGATGAGAGATATGTAAAGGAAGAAGCTTCTGTAAGCATATACACATATACATAGACATATAGACACGTATACACGTATATACATACATACAAATATACCCATATGCCTATATACCTATATACAGACACATACCTATGCGTGTATATAGATGTAACTGTATATACCTGTTTTTGGTTACAATAGAAGACTGCCACTCAAACCCCAATGAACCACCACGGACCACGGGAGAAGAAACCCTGGGAGACCACCCACCGGGCAACCGCTTGCTTGTCGTTGCTTTTGCTGCGGCTGGTTTTGCAGTCGAGTCTAGCGTCTCGCGAGAGCATGCGTAGTGCGTCTGCTCCCTTCTGCTTCTGATGGATTTCTTGTTGTTCCTGTACCGCTGTTTCCGCTCCTCTGTTGTATTCGCTGATGGTCGGTCCCCTCACTATTTGGATCAATCCTCAAGGCACCTTTCTGGAAGATGCTGCCAACTCACACCTGCTGACTGGAGGCAAATACATGTATCTGGCAGTCTGGCAGCAGTTGCTGGCATGCAGACACGGCAATCGTATTCAACACTGTGAGTTGGACGTTGCACACCCGAGTCAGCTGAGCTTTAGTTTCTCCCGGCGCTTCGAATCCTCTTCGTGGCAGCTACCAACAATCGTAGCTAAAGCTGCCGTGGGGATCGACGGCCTGGCAGGGAAAGTCTTTCTGAAGGGTCTGGTGATTAGAGGTTTCCGCAGATTCACTGTCCAATGCAAGCCGCCTCAACAGAAACACACTCTCACAGCAAGAAGAGACCAGAATACAAACATCAGTGGTCTGACAATTGTCGGCCTGGTACAGTAGGGTTGCGAAATCCACGGGTTTACTTGAGATTGAAGCTTTGATCATTCCCTATCACACTTTACAGTGGCTTGTGGCGTTCCTAGTCACTGGTCTCGATCTTGCCATCACAGCCGGACCCAATGCAGCACGAAAGTTTCACAAGGAGGTCTGGAGCGAGAAGTCATGCCGCAAACGCTCGGAAACGAGGAGTTCCTGATTGAAGCTGCCGAACATGAGCGTTGGTCGAACTCTTCCTCTCTGCTTTCAGAGCCACAGCTGAACTCAAAGCTCAAGAAAGGCGAAATCTGCATGACCGGCAACAACACACCCATCTTATCTGACGAGTTTCTTTTTACCGGCACCAAATGCAAACGCACGAATGTAAGCGTCGTTCCGATGCGACCGGACAAGCTTCAACTTTCGAAACTTCAGCGGCACTGCCCTAATTGACATCGAAGAGGGGCCTGATGCGGCACGTGCTGAGCAGCTGCGAGGCTGTCCGGCCTAAGTCTCTCACGTTTGCAATGGTGGCCGACAAGAGGCTGACCAGATTGAGGGACGGAAGGAAGTGCCAGGCCGAGTGCATCGCTTTCAAACTACCATAGATCCACGTATGGCACGAGTCTGCTGCATCGCATGGGCCTAAGCTCTTTCTGTTTGGATGCACTGCCTGGGGATTGCATAAACTTGTAAAGCCACATCGCCAAGGTGTTTGGGATTCAGGGATGGCTTATGCGGGCACTAAGTCTGACTGCCTCATCGCGACCCATTGCGCGCTTTTAGGCTTCCACTATTTGCTTTGAGTGGTCCTACCCTGTCTGGCGTGGAATGACAGAGTACTTCGCGACGTCGCCGCCTCAGAAGAGTCGCAGGCTGCCATACCAGTCAGTGGGCCGTGGAGCAAGTCGTTACTACAACGGCGGTTTGCGAAGTTCCTTTTTGCGCAGACCCCGCCTGGAACCTTTGGCAAGTTCCTGAAGCTTTCAACTGGGCAGGAGCTATTCGGAGGTAGACATGCCCGGGCTCTGTTTGACCTGATGCAATCAACGACTTCGGACAACTTCTGCCACTGATATGTAGCTCACTAAGGTCCCCGCTCAGGAATCAATCCTTCAAGCCCCCATGCACCAAACGGCACAGAGCTAGGCTACACGCAGCCTCAACTGACGAGGAGCTCAGGGAAAAGGCCTGGCTGAGCTCTTGCTGAGGTCATGGAAAGGATTCTGGTGAACTTAGCGACTTCGTGTGTGGTAAACGTATTTGCTCTTTGAAGGGGTGACCTCTGTTGAATACATCAACATGTCATTGTTTTTGTATGAGTTCCCAGTGTATTGAACTTCATATGTACTCGTACAAACCACATACATGTACTCATATAGCTCCCACACAAAGAACGTTGAGTGGCATGTGTGGAATGATGTTGAAGACTTCATAGCCAGAAGCCTTTCGAGGTTAGATACCAGAGTTCGACAGACATTCCGCAAGAATCTACTTCAGTTGCCGGTGTGATCCGTCGTTGGATCTTCTTAAGAAATGTGGTGCCAGTGCTGCTACCCGGAAGGGTCTGCGGGCCGGCACCGACGCAAAGAGACAACAAATGCAAACAAGCTTGAACGGACTTGCGATCCCGATGTGGCATACAGATTGACCCGGTGCCTTCTTGGACAACGGCTTCTTCGAAGAGAACCACGGAGCCTAGGAACAGGGCTGCATTCGGCGGACGGTGCGCGAGACTCGTAACCAGGCTGACTACACAAGATGCCCAGCAGCTCTTAATGGCTTCCTGGCCCTCACAACTGCTAGCAGGTAATCAATTCCGAAAAGCACGAGGTTACAAAGTCAGTTGTTGATGATCAGGACTCAGGAGACTGCCTGGACAAAGAATCTGGCTTTGCCCCATGATTTCAAGACGCGGTGGCTGCACAATCACAGACGTCATGAAGCGGCACGCGATAAACGTGCATCTCCATGAGAGCTAGTCGGAAACGACCAGGACGAAAGGAATCCTAAACCTCAAGCTCAACATGGCTTAACGCTGTGGTCTGCCACTTAGGCTACACGAAGTCAGGCCAGGAGATAGAACTGAGGGCGTAAGCCGTGGAGTTTCCAAGTCCAGGAGTCTGTTTGACAGAGTTTGACCCCCCTCACCTCACCACCTCATAGGCCCTAGGCGTCATCACAGCGTCGGGCTAACTAGTCCGAGTTGTCGCAAAGCGCAGGTTGCTGTAAGTAGCCTCGGCCTGCTGAGGCTGAACGAACCCTTCTGTCTTGGGGGATGTAGTGCCGCTTGGGGTTCCTTGTAGTTCTATTTGCCAAGCCCTAAATTCCGTTCTGATTCGTTACCCAGCTCGAGCAGCACGGCCCCAATTATTGGCAATATTTTTTCTGGCGCTTGCGACTGGTACCGGAATCGAAGTCCTGCAAACCCTGATCTCGTCATGCAGTGCCGGTTTGAGATCTTGGTGGCACGCTGAATGGCATAGCAATTGCTCGGTCGAGCTTCAACATTCTGGAACATGTTCTGTAGCAGAACATTATAAGACAACTCGCTCTCATTTCGGTGACTGTTAGTTCTATGAAAGGTAAAGTCTGTAAAGTAATCCTGCTCGGTTTCGCACGATTAAAATTCCTGCGAGCCGTGTCTCGTTGGGAGCAGCACCTACCTCACTTCATAATCCAGGCTGGGCACAACGAGCTCAGGTGTTGTCGCAGCTGCGAGGACCGTGCGCTACAGAAGGCGCCATAAGGCATGCATTATGAAATGCCGAAACTGGAACTTTCCAGCGTCAGCTCATGCATTTTAAATCAATAGGCAAACCTGTTCCGCAGCAGCATCACCAGAACAGCCATGAACTCCAACGCGGACTGAAACCAAACCACATCGGAAGGTCTATCGTGCCATTTCTGAAGGATGCTGCTGCCACTGCAAGTCCATATATCGCCGAACACGACTCGAAGCAAGTGATGCCGCCCTAGACCTTTCAAGGCCCTGTCGTAAGGGATGTCTCAGACACTGATGGATCGCTGATGATTACTGCGCAGAGTATCTGAGGATCGTCTTCGAGACATGGCACATGTCGAAAGGTGCCTCTCCACACTGCTGTAAGCAGAGCTTGGACGTGTTAAACGCAACGGATGCGATTGCTCGTGGTGCATGGCCACAGCATGGTTCCAGAGAAGCCGTCTTCGTAATTGTACGGTGAAGAATCGCATCTGGCACATTGTAGTGCACTGGTCGTTGCACAGGGCTTGACCCAGTTGAGACACGATTGTCCTCTTTCTGTCCGGGAATGCCTGACCCACAGCAAAATGCTCGCACGTACATTACAAAGCTTTGCTGCTCGGCCCAACTGCACGATGACGCGCACATGTCCACGAGCTGAGGGGTTCGCTAACACCATGAACCCTTCCTACGTATACACGTAATGCAGATGTGGGCTCCTGCTTCATGCTCGAACTCAAATTTGTACTACCCGACTTGGCAACTCGAACTCAGCAAACGGATCCAACACCGATTCCAGCTGCACGGCGTCAACGGCGGCAAGCCAAAGGTAGGGCCTTGCGATGCAGAGAGATCAGCACGGTAACCTATCACCATCGAACAGTATATGCTCTGACCTGAAAGGCCCGCGTGCAACTTGGACCTGTCACAACAGTTTCCACAGCTTTCTGCTTCTTTACCAGGCTACCGCCCTTCGGCCAATAGGTCGCAAAGTCTCCTAAGTCGAACTATACCTGTACCTGTAGCATCTTGTGCATACATACCACAGCAGCAAGAGCATGCGAGGCTATTGCTTCCTGGACCCGACGCCTCTGCAACGAGATGTGCTCCTCTGGCACCGCCATGTCCGAAAGGCTGCGGGCGCCAGAGCTTGCCAAGTCGCGCGCCTGAAATTGCTCTGTATGTCTGCATGCAGTTGCTACCAGCAGATCTTGCACATGCCAACTGCCTCTGAACCCTTGGCCAAGAAACTCTGGTGACCCTGGTGCACGCCCGAGGCATCTGCATTTGACTGACTGGACTCTGTGTGGCGAAAAATCACGCCCTGCTATATCATGTTCAGGCCTCCTTGGCAGAGTCATGCTCCAGCTCATCGGGCAATGGCACCTTCCACATCGATGCAAACAGGGGCTGAAAACTGATTTTGCAGTCATATCCTATCACCTGAACCTCTTGATGCGACCACTCGCACATCTGCCTACTCAGACCAGAACTCAGCAAGGCCTCTTTCACCGGCGATATCGCTTCCATCGGAGCCGAGGCCTCTTTGCAGCCGCATTTTAGGCATCCCTCTGCCCTCACCTCTACTGGAGTTCACGATGTTTAGGGGTCACTCGGCCGAAATACACCCCAGTGCAGCACAAAGACAGCCAGGTGGACTGATTTCGAGATCATTCGTTGCTGCGAGAGGGAGCTGTGGATTCGGCTGAGCACGCCTGGGATTTAGCCAGTCACCCAGAGACTCCAAAACCCGTTAGTTAAGGAATACAGCTTAAATCATCTTAGGGATAAGGGGTTTCGGAGCCTCTGGGCAAGCTGTCAGAAATTCGAGGCTCCGACCTCGGCCTGAGGCAGGGTCCGGTGAGTCTCATTCTCCCGCAGTGTTTTGGTGGTGGCCTCTCCGGCACTTCCACGTGTTCGCTGAAGAGTTAAACTAAGTTGGAATAGACTTAGACCAGCTAGCCAGCTGGAAGAATGCCCAGTCTGGGCTGTCTGGGCTGCTCCAGCTGCAAGCGTCAGGCGCGAACCCTGCTCGCACCTTCGTCGGGCATGGAGGCGGAGGAAGCGGAGGAGGCGGGAGAGCTGGCACCTTGCAGGGCAAGTGAATAGCTCCGAGTCAAGCGCTTTTGGAGTGCGGGCTCCGCTCCCCGCCTCCGACGGCTCCGACTCGTCGCCTCGAGCTCCCAGGTGCTTCACCTCTGCTCGAAATGATACTTGGAGGATCATGGGACTTAGTAAGTAAGGTTATAAGTACCCTAATTGGAGTTATAAGTATGGTTACCTTATCTATAACCCTAGTTACTAAGTCCCATGGTCCTCCAAGTAGGCATCGGCTCGGGCCCGGCTCGGGCCTACTATCGTGGCGAGATGCTTCTGGCAGGTCTGCTGGTACATCTGTGTCTGAGGATGCCGTGGATGATGGCCAAGACAATGCCTGCACACTTGCGATGCAAATTTGGACCGGGCTTCAAGAGCAAGTTACCTTGACAGCCGCCTTCTGAGGGTGCTTGCTGCCTGATTGGGTTCTCGCAAAAATAGTCGAATGGGACACTTTAACAGCAGCTGCCTGTTCCCCCCTGCGATTGGACGTGATTCATCTTGAAGGAGCTACATAAGGAAAGTCCCTTCTAATGAGCTCGAATGACGAGTATGCGTGTCGTGTGATGAAGAATTCAGACACTTTCCGAAAACGAGGGTGGCTTCTCTTGCTTCTGAGAGGGTCTGTGTGCCGGGCTCGCGCAAGACGGAAGCGGCACACTCAGCACTCAGCACAATCGCCAACGCGGGGCTGGAGCAAGAATGTCCCTTGCTTGCGAGCTTCAGTTCATGAGGTGACAGCTAAAAATCCTCCAGCTTCCGGCAGTCTGGCCTGTCCAACTTGCTGGCAAGACGATCGCTCACGAGGCACCTTGCAAAGCAAACCCAGTAGCACAACACGTTCCACTGTCCCTCTAGACTCCAGTTTGCCCCAAACGGCAAACCTTTTCACACTCATGTCATGGGTGAGCGCCGGACGTCCTCTAGCTCCGTGAAGACGGCGAAGCAAAGAAGGTGGCAAGCAATCGCTCTGCACTGAGGCACCTCAAGCTCGAAGCTGTGCACGTAAAGTAGGTACTTGATAGGTGAAAGAGTACTCTGATCAAGTTAAACCTCACGGGGTCTGACACTCGAAGCTCTGGTTGTGCAACATCCACCCCAAGGCCCAGTGACTGCAAAAATCAAGGCACAAGGTAGGCCGTAAAGCGAAACCTGACTCCGTGCAGCATGCAGCGTCTCAGGATGATGCCTCCTTCGATAAGAAGCGGAGAAGCTCCTGCCGGCGGCAGATAATGCCACCCTCTCAAACAGCAGCGCTTCATACATACATGTTACATGTACCTACTTGCATGCAAATCGGTTAAACTTAAACTACCTATGGATATCTTTTTTATCTGTCTATCTGTCTGCATCTACTCTCTCTCTCTCTCTCTATATATATATATATGTGCACATGTATCGGTGTAGGAATCGGCATACCCTTTTTTCGCATGCACTCTCAGGCTACTCTTAAATGTGGATACATGTACATGCACATATACACACAGACATCTACGTATACTGATCACCGCACATGTGTATGCATGCGCAAGCCTAGCATACACATCTGTATGCATATATAAATATATATGTATGTATATACATACATGCATACATGTCCTAACAGTGCATAAAAACACAAACAGCCGGCATATCCAAACAGTGGCAAATATATATATATATATATATATGTAATGTAATATATATATATATATATATATACACTGTGTATGCATGCGCAAGCCTAGCATACACATCTGTATGCATATATAAATATATATGTATGTATATACATACATGCATACATGTCCTAACAGTGCATAAAAACACAAACAGCCGGCATATCCAAACAGTGGCGAATATATATATATATATATATATATATATATATGTGTAATGTAATATATATATATATATATACACACAATACCCATGTACACACATATATATATACATATATATATATGTATGTGTACATACACATGCGTGCATATGTACATACATGCATACTGACACTAGAACATCCATTCATGCATGCAACATCATGAATACTGTTATGATCATATGCTTGCATGTGTACAGACATATGTACATACACTCAGCCAGCCTGCCACACAGACGGACATACAGAAAGACAGACAAACCGCCGTGCACACAAACATACATCGATACATGCATTCATGCATGCATGCATGTCCATGCATCCGTGCATCGTACCTTTCGATGTTACAGTCTGTGTGAGATCCGTCTGCGACGACGGTCACATCGGAGAACAGCAGCTAGTAGATGCTAGTAGCACATCAGCTCTTGTTCTATCTTATCTTCACCGCACGACTACGTACACTTTATGCACACGCGGACTTGCATAACTACCCTTGCTGAAAGACTCTTGCAGGCAAGGACGTAGGAAAACAAAATCTGATACCGTAGGTAATGACCGTGCACGCCCGTAAAACTTTGCAAACAGAACTTGGCAGCTCTTGAGTTCCACAAGTACTGCCTCGATCTCCGAAAGTGTTTCGTCAGCCACCTCGGGGATAAGATGTGCGCAGTGTGCTGGTGGCAGCGCAACGACTTGAAACTTGAACAGTCTTTGCCTCTACCTTCAGCCGGCTGACAGTTCCACATGATGGCCAAGCAGAGACAAACGTTCATTGCTGGAGCCACATTGGCCTGCTTGAAACGAATATGGTCGTTACAGTAGGCTGTCATCGGAACAAAGACTGGCTATCCCAACACCGAGGACTCAGCAACAGCTGCAGCACCCCCCTGGCAAGAAACCAAGTTGTAAATGCATTCCATGTTTGTGTCGCTCCTGCGAATACCGCTTGCGTTGTCGTGTAAGCACCAAACTGCTGCTGGATGGTGCTGGGGATTCTGCCGTGCAAGTGACTGCTGGCCCTTTCCGTGGATGAGCGACAGCTGTTGCCAGCGCAGCGTGGCTACACTGGGGCTAGTACTGTTCAAGAACACCAGTTAGCATATGCGTTTTTTTGGGAGTGCAGTTAGCATATGATGCTGTTTGGAATCCCGGATGAAATTAGACAAAAAAAACAACTGCAGTTAGCATATAGAGGGGTCCAAAATATGCTATCTTCTCGTGTGGGGACACGAAAAGCACCAGCATACCGAGGCGAAATGCAGTTAGCATGTCAAGAAAACTGCAGTTAGCATATGCCATCCTCGATGCAAAGATGGGCATCCGAAAGGGCAAAAACTGAAGGGAATATCAGTAAAACCAGTGCAGTTAGCATATTCGTGCCTCCTAAAACCGACGAAATGACCTGATATGACACATATACTGTATGATAAGAATCGAGCTGCAGTAAACACTTACTGTACTTGGTTTAGGGTTCACTGTGGGGCTTACTGCACAGTACTGTTGGGGTTTCTGCTAGCTTTCTCCTCTTCGAACAGTGAACAGTGAAAGCACATGCCGGCTTTCTCTTCTTTGATCAGTACAATACTGCACAACACGGTTCTGTACTGTACCGCACTGTAGTGTACTCTACAATACAATACTGTACAGCACGCTCCCCATTTGCCCTCGCCCCTGTCACTCTCAAAGTCGTGTTCATGGCAGCCTGCAGCAGGAACCCATCCCACCCAGTGGCACAGCAATGAATGTGACAGGCAGTTATGAGGCATGGAAACACGGAAGGAACCATTCGAAGGCGGCTGGCCCGGAATATATGCTATCTGCGGTTCTCTGCAGGGTTTGGACAACAGAAATTATACAAGAAGGGTTGCCATCCACTTTGCCCGTTGGGCTTCCTGTACAGTAAGAGAAGTCGTAACATTTGCTGTTTCGCCCAAGTAACCGCGCCTGACACAAAACATGGTTTCCACACAGACACACCGCGTCTGAAACTTTCTACCGAACCGTGGGCTTGCAAGCGACAAGAGGCACTTCCAGGGCTAAAGTTGTACTGCGACCAAGCACAATCTAGCCAGGACGCCAAACGAGGCATTTCCAGTACTAAAGTTGTACTACAACCAAGCACAATCCAGCCAGGACGCCAAACGAGGCATTTCCAGTACTAAAGTCATACTACAACCAAGCACAATCCAGCCAGGACGCCAAACGAGGCATTTCCAGTACCAAAGTTGTGCTACAACCAAGCACAATCCAGCCAGGACGCCAAACATTTCCAGTACTGAAGTTGTACTACAACCAATCACAATCCAGCCAGGACGCCAAACGAGGCATTTCCAGTACTAAAGTTGTAATACAACCAAGCACAATCCAGCCAGGACGCCAAACGATGCATTTCCAGTACTAAAGTTGTACTACAACCAAGCGCAATCCAGCCAGGACGCCAAACGAGGCATTTCCACTAGTATAGTTGTACTACAACCAAGCACAATCCAGCAGGACGCCAAACGAGGCATTTCCAGTACAAAAGCTGCACTACATACAACCAAGCACAATCCAGCCAGGACGCCAAACGAGGCATTTCCAGCACTAAAGTTGTACTACAACCACGCACAGTCCAGCCAGGACTCCAAACGAGGCAATTCCAGTACTAAAGTTGTACTACAACCAAGCGCAATCCAGCCAGGACGCCAAACGAGGCATTTCCACTACTAAAGTTGTACTACAACCACGCACAATCCAGCCAGGACGCCAAACGAGGCATTTCCAGTACTAAAGTTGTATTAGAACCAAGCACAATCCAGCCAGGACGCCAAACGAGGCATTTCCAGCACTAAAGTTGTACTACAACCAAGCGCAATCCAGCCAGGACGCCAAACGAGGCATTTCCACTACTAAAGTTGTACTACAACCAAGCAAAATCCAGCCAGGACGCCAAACGACGTATTTCCAGTACCAAATTTTCGTACTAAAAGGACTTTTGCAAGCAACCCGTATCACCAACTACACCGCGGAACGTTACGACCCAGCGTTTTTTCGCTTCTGCGAAGGTCTGCCCTGATCTGCTGACATGCGTTACGACTTCGGTAGTTCCCTGTCGCATAACTGCAGTGAATATCAACAAAATAAGTGCAGTTAGCATATTCGTGCCTCCTAAAGCCGACGAAATGACCTGATATGACACATATACTGTATGATAAGAATCGAGCTGCAGTAAACACTTACTGTACTTGGTTTAGGGTTCACTGTAGGGCTTACTGTACAGTACTGTTGGGGTTTCTGCTAGCTTTCTCCTCTTCGAACAGTGAGCAGTGAAAGCACATGCTGGCTTTCTCTTCTTTGATCAGTACAGTACTGCACAACACGGTTCTGTACTGTACCGCACTGTAGTGTGCTCTACAATACAATACTGTACAGCACGCTCCCCATTTGCCCTCGCCCCTGTCACTCTCAAAGTCGTGTTCATGGCAGCCTGCAGCAGGAACCCATCCCACCCAGTGGCACAGCAATGAATGTGACAGGCAATTATGAGGCATGGAAACACGGAAGGAACCATTCGAAGGCGGCTGGCCCGGAATATATGCTATCTGCGGTTCTCTGCAGGGTTTGGACAACAGAAATTATACAAGAAGGGTTGCCATCCACTTTGCCCGTTGGGCTTCATGTACAGTAAGAGAAGTCGTAACATTTGCTGTTTCGCCCAAGTAACCGCGCCTGACACAAAACATGGTTTCCACACAGACACACCGCGTCTGAAACTTTCTACCGAACCGTGGGCTTGCAAGCGACAAGAGGCACTTCCAGGGCTAAAGTTGTACTGCGACCAAGCACAATCTAGCCAGGACGCCAAACGAGGCATTTCCAGTACTAAAGTTGTACTACAACCAAGCACAATCCAGCCAGGACGCCAAACGAGGCATTTCCAGTACTAAAGTTATACTACAACCAAGCACAATCCAGCCAGGACGCCAAACGAGGCATTTCCAGTACCAAAGTTGTGCTACAACCAAGCACAATCCAGCCAGGACGCCAAACATTTCCAGTACTGAAGTTGTACTACAACCAATCACAATCCAGCCAGGACGCCAAACGAGGCATTTCCAGTACTAAAGTTGTAATACAACCAAGCACAATCCAGCCAGGACGCCAAACGATGCATTTCCAGTACTAAAGTTGTACTACAACCAAGCGCAATCCAGCCAGGACGCCAAACGAGGCATTTCCACTAGTATAGTTGTACTACAACCAAGCACAATCCAGCAGGACGCCAAACGAGGCATTTCCAGTACAAAAGCTGCACTACATACAACCAAGCACAATCCAGCCAGGACGCCAAACGAGGCATTTCCAGCACTAAAGTTGTACTACAACCACGCACAGTCCAGCCAGGACTCCAAACGAGGCAATTCCAGTACTAAAGTTGTACTACAACCAAGCGCAATCCAGCCAGGACGCCAAACGAGGCATTTCCACTACTAAAGTTGTACTACAACCACGCACAATCCAGCCAGGACGCCAAACGAGGCATTTCCAGTACTAAAGTTGTATTAGAACCAAGCACAATCCAGCCAGGACGCCAAACGAGGCATTTCCAGCACTAAAGTTGTACTACAACCAAGCGCAATCCAGCCAGGACGCCAAACGAGGCATTTCCACTACTAAAGTTGTACTACAACCAAGCACAATCCAGCCAGGACGCCAAACGACGTATTTCCAGTACCAAATTTTCGTACTAAAAGGACTTTTGCAAGCAACCCGTATCACCAACTACACCGCGGAACGTTACGACCCAGCGTTTTTTCGCTTCTGCGAAGGTCTGCCCTGATCTGCTGACATGCGTTACGACTTCGGTAGTTCCCTGTCGCATAACTGCAGTGAATATCAACAAAATAAGTGCAGTTAGCATATTCGTGCCTCCTAAAGCCGACGAAATGACCTGATATGACACATATACTGTATGATAAGAATCGAGCTGCAGTAAACACTTACTGTACTTGGTTTAGGGTTCACTGTAGGGCTTACTGTACAGTACTGTTGGGGTTTCTGCTAGCTTTCTCCTCTTCGAACAGTGAGCAGTGAAAGCACATGCTGGCTTTCTCTTCTTTGATCAGTACAGTACTGCACAACACGGTTCTGTACTGTACCGCACTGTAGTGTGCTCTACAATACAATACTGTACAGCACGCTCCCCATTTGCCCTCGCCCCTGTCACTCTCAAAGTCGTGTTCATGGCAGCCTGCAGCAGGAACCCATCCCACCCAGTGGCACAGCAATGCAATTACGAGGCATGGAAACACGGAAGGAACCATTCGAAGGCGGCTGGCCCGGAATATATGCTATCTGCGGCTCTCTGCAGGGTTTGGACAACAGAAATTATACAAGAAGGGTTGCCATCCACTTTGCCCGTTGGGCTTCCTGTACAGTAAGAGAAGTCGTAACATTTGCTGTTTCCCCCAAGTAACCGCGCCTGACACAAAACATGGTTTCCACACACCGCCTCTGAAACTTTCTACCGAACCGTGGGCTTGCAAGCGACAAGAGGCACGTCCAGTACTAAAGTTGTAGTGCAACCAAGCACAATCTAGCCAGGACGCCAAACGAGGCATTTCCAGTACTAAAGTTGTACTACAACCAAGCGCAATCCAGCCAGGACGCCAAACGAGGCATTTCCACTAGTATAGTTGTACTACAACCAAGCACAATCCAGCAGGACGCCAAACGAGGCATTTCCAGTACCAAAGTTATACTACAACCAAGCACAATCCAGCCAGGACGCCAAACGAGTCATTTCCAGCACTAAAGTTGTACTACAACCACGCACAATCCAGCCAGGACGCCTAACGAGGCAATGCCAGTACTCAAGTTGTATTACAACCACGCACAATCCAGCCAGGACGCCAAACGAGGCATTTCCAGTACTAAAGTTGTATTACAACCATGCACAGTCCAGCCAGGACGCCAAACGAGGCACTTCCAGTATCAAAGTTGTGCTACAACCAAGCACAATCCAGCCAGGACGCCAAACGAGGCATTTCCAGCACTAAAGTGACTAAAGTTGTACTACAACCACGCACAATCCAGCCAGGACGCCGAACGAGGCAATTCCAGTACCAAAGTTGTACTACAACCAAGCGCAATCCAGCCAGGACGCCAAACGAAGCATTTCCAGTACTAAAGTTGTACTACAACCAAGCGCAATCCAGCCAGGACGCCAAACGAGGCATTTCCACTAGTATAGTTGTACTACAACCAAGCACAATCCAGCAGGACGCCAAACGAGGCATTTCCAGTACAAAAGCTACACTACATACAACCAAGCACAATCCAGCCAGGACGCCAAACCAGGCATTTCCAGTACTAAAGTTCAAGCACAATCCAGCCAGGACGCCAAACGAGGCATTCCCAGTACTAAAGTTGTACTACAACCAAGCACAGTCCAGCCAAGACGCGAGACGACGCATTTTCAGTACCAAAGTTGTACTACAACCAAGCACAATCCAGCCAGGACGCCAAACGAGGCATTTCCAGTACTGAAGTTGTACTACAGCCAAGCACAATCCAGCCAGGACGCCAAACGAGGCATTTCCAGTACCAAAGTTGTGCTACAACCAAGATCAACCAAGCACAATCCAGCCAGGACGCCAAACGAGGCATTTCCAGCACTAAAGTTGTACCCAAACGAGGCATTTCCAGCACTAAAGTTGTACTACAACCAAGCACAATCCAGCCAGGACGCCGCACGAGGCATTTCCAGTACCAAAGCTGTACTACAACCATGCACAATCCAGCCAGGACGCCTAACGAGGCAATTCCAGTACTCAAGTTGTATTACAACCACGCACAATCCAGCCAGGACGCCAAACGAGGCATTTCCAGTACTAAAGTTGTATTACAACCATGCACAATCCAGCCAAGACGCCTAACGATGCAATTCCAGTAATAAAGTTGTACTACAACCAAGCGTAATCCAGCCAAGACGCCAAACGAGGCATTTCCACTACCAAAGTTGTACTACAACCAAGCACAATCCAGCAGGCATTTCCAGTACCAAAGCTGCACTACATACAACCAAGCAATCCAGCCAGGACGCCAAACGAGGCATTTCCAGTAATAAAGTTGTACTACAACCAAGCACAATCCAGCCAGGACGCCGCACGAGGCACTTCCAGTACTAAAGTTGTATTAGAACCAAGCACAATCCAGCCAGGACGCCAAACGAGGCATTTCCAGCACTAACGTTGTACTACAACCAAGCGCAATCCAGCCAGGACGCCAAACGAGGCATTTCCACTACTAAAGTTGTACTACAACCAAGCACAATCCAGCCAGGACGCCGAACGACGTATTTCCAGTACCAAATTTTCGTACTAAAGGACTTTTGCAAGCAACCCGTATCACCAACTACACCGCGGAATGTTACGACCCAGCGTTTTCGCTTCCGCGAAGGTCTGCCCTGATCTGCTGACATGCGTTACGACTTCGGTAGTTCCCTGTCGCATAACTGCAGTGAATATCAATAAAACAAATGCAGTTAGCATGTTCGTGCCTCCACAAACCGACGAAATTACATGACATGACACATATACTGTATGACATGATATGACATACAAAGACAGTACAGTACTGCAAACAAAACTATTACTGTAATCCATTTTGTGTTTGATGTTTATGGACATTCAATTTTTCAAAGCAACTTCCACATTTTTTACTGTACAGTACAGTAACATCGATAAGAATCACACTGCAGTAAACACCTACTTTACTTCGTTTAGGGTTCACTGTACTGTAGGGCTTACTGTACAGCACCGTAGGTTCGAAGGCAGTTGGTGGTTGGCCTGGAATATATGCTATCTGCAGTTCTTTGCAGGTTTGGACAACAGAAATTATACAAGAAACGTTGAAAGCTTTTCTGCTGCCTCTACTGTCCTGCACAGGGCATCCAATACACCTTGTTAAACGGTTCTGGGGGGGGGGCTCAGCTACACCTGTCTAAAGGGGTAGGCGGTTGGGGTTGGTCTGGAATATATATGCTATCTGCAGTTCTTTGCAGGTTTGGACAACAGAAATTATACAAGAAGCGTTGAGGTTTTTCTGCTGCCTCTACTGTACAGGGGTCCTGGGGGCATCTAATACACCTTCATTTCGTCGCCTGCACAAAGATGGTAGGACGATACACCTGCCTATGTACTGTAAAGAGGTTTCGGGGCATCCGATACACAATGTTAAAGGTTGTAGTACAGTACAGTACTGTACTATTGTACCATACGCTACAGTACAGTGCAGTAGCCCTTTACCCTCTGCTGTCTCACTCTCCTCTTCTGCCCCCCTCATCTCCAACACAAACACAGGCGCAAGTTCCATCAACTCGTCTGAATTTGCACCCGCTCATGCAAAACCTCCGGAATTACCAGAACTTCCTCCGACTCATGCCCTCCTACTCAAAAAAAAGCCCACATTCCTGGCAAGAACCATATGCTAACTGCGGTTCGGATATGCCCATACTGTACAGTACTGTACAGTTGCACAACACAAGCAGAGGCGCAAGTTCCATCAATTCTTCTGAAGTTGTCCCCCGCTCATGCAAAACCTCCCAGAATTACCAGAACTTCCTCCGACTCACGCCCTCCCACCACCAAAAAAAGCTCACATTCCTGGCATGGACCATATGCTAACTGCGGTGCGGGATATGCTAACTGCGGTTGTTGGGACCCGGGAAAACTCATATGCTAACTGCGTTGTTTTTGGCCCGGGATGAAATTAGACAAATGACCCGGGATCCCGGGTCATTTGTCTAATTGTCTAATTGTCCCCGGGTCCATATGCTAACTGGTGTTCCGGGAGTGTATTGCTTGAGTATTGTGTCTGCCATGCATCTATATGCTCCTGACTGCTCGCCATGCAGACTGCCGTCGAGAAATCATCGACTGCGCCTGACGATGCAGAAATTCCACGAGGTGCAGCATCCGTAGCCTGGTCAGAAGGGAGTTTGGTGGGCCAGATGCCACGCTCAGTTATTTTGTTGGAGTTGCTTTCGCCTGGCAAGCCGGTCCTGTTTCAGCGCAACATGTCAGATTCCGAGCGGGTTTAGAAGTCAAGAGCGGGCAAGTGTTCGTGATGAGGGCTTGTCCCCTTTGTGACCATCTCCCCTCCAGTACACTTGAGTCGAAAGCCTCATCGAGCATCGTCGCTAGTGTCAATCAAGTGATTAAGATCGCGGGCCATAGTCTTAAGATGTCTAGTCTGCTTACTATTATCACTACTACTACTACTACTACTACTACTACTACTACTACTACTACTACTACTACTACTACTACTACCGTTTTTTACTATTATCCGTCGTAGACCAATGCCGACCCAGGCCTGGGTCGCCAGTCCTCCGCCTCTGTGATTTCAGCCACCAGGCACGCAGCCACGTGGCAGGCAGCAAGGCCCCGGCAGGCGGCCCTTGGAAGCCGGGAGTTCTTGCTTGCTTAGATAATAGAAATATAGTAGTACTAAATAGCAATAATGATAGTAGTGATAGTAGCAATAATCACAATTTTCAATGATAGTAATACTTATCTTAGGGCTTAGGATTTTCAGATTTTCAAGGCTTTACAACTTGGACTCCACATGGCTGACGTGACTTGTCAGCAGACAGCAGCCTCAGATGCCTCACCCTTACTATGTCCAGCAATCACAATGTCATCTAAAAATCTAACTCTTTGACCAAGCTCTTGCATCCCCAGCTTTTCTCATGCGGCACGGCAATGCATGAAAGCGATATGCTGCTGAGTGCTAAGACCCGTTTGCCATACAGCTTTCCAAAATTTTGCCTTCGGCAAGTGACGCACATCCGAGCCTGCGTCGTGTATGTGGAATAGCGGCAGCGCAGGGTTCGGAGATGTTCGGACAAGACGATGGTTTTGGCTTTGGCTCTTCAGCGTAAGCTGTGGGTCCAAGCCCCGATCCGTGCGGAGTCTGCCTGGGTTGCAAGATCAAGTCCAGGTTCCAAGATTCGGAACTTTGACCGACGCACTGTAGTTGCAAGAAAAGGCTCCTTCGACTTCCAGGGACGCGCTCCGTCGAACATCACCCCTGCTTTTTGCTCAGACTTTCCTAATACTTCAAGCCCTGAACCGTCTCGCACAAGTGCATGAACACTGACGTGTTAATCAACGGACGCTTGCAAAAGCTGTGAAGCCGAGGGCAGCCGAATCAAGGGAACTGAAATCGTAGTGCACTGGGCTCTACGAAACTTATTTGCAGATGCACAATGCAGATGGACTTGGACTCTACAGGTGCTTCCTTGACTGGTTGCTGTTGGGATCTGTAGCAGGGGTTTCGGCATGAAGCTGGGTACGCACAGCCAGCGCGTGCAATCGTAGGTAGTGTTGCACCTTGATTGCAATCCAAGGAGGGGTGGACCTGCGGTAGGAACCGAAAACGAAGCTGCCTTAACTTGCAACTCGAACGCCTGATACAGTAAATCGGCGATCTGCGTACTGCACGTCCTGTCATGAATTGCAGCAGGTAGTTATACCGGCGAAGATGCAAACGGTTTTTCAAGTTTTAAAATTATCGACATGGCGAGTTGGGAGTCTCAGTTAAGTTTCTACCTGATATTGTTGACTTAAGCTTGTCTTACATGCTTTGCCCATCACCCTCTCAAAGCCGTGTAGAAGCCTTATCACTGCAACCAGCTCGGCCATGTCGACGCAGTCAAGTTTCCTACCGGCCTGGTGCTCTTCACGACGGAAGGAAGGGTTGCACCTCAACTTTTTTTTCTTTTTTTTGATGGGGGGGGGGGGTGGAGATCAGATCACATTGTGCTCTGCGCAACTTGCACCGGTTGGTCAGGGAGCCTGGCCATGTCGGCGTTGTCCCTCGAAATCTTCCAAGGAATGATGATAAGCAAGGCGATGCACAAGCTCAGCATGCCGGAAATGACGTAACTGTTCGCGATCAGGCGGAAGCCGTTCATACCCCGGTAGCACATGTTATCAGTCAGCCCTTGCCAGAAACTGCGCATGAAGCCACAGTTCAGCATGTCGAGAAGGTCGACCACCGGGGTGATAACGTCTGTCTGCACGAGAGTCTTCATGTCGTTGATGATAGCATCAAGCAAACTGCTGGTGACGGCATCGAAATACTCGAAGGCTTTCTGGATGTCCTGCTCGGCACTCTTGACGAAGTCGTTGAACTCGGCAAGTGTGCACTTCCGAGTTCGCCGATATACGGTGCCGCCGTTCAGGCAGGTTCCGGTCCAGGTGCCGCCGCTTTGGACCATGTTGCGCGGGTAGCACGGTGTGGGGTCATTGGGGCCGTTAACGATGTAGGTGCACATGAACAGCTCTTCAGTCTGGAACTTCTGCTTGATATCCTTGAGGAAGCTGGCTGCTGCTGTGCATCCGGGCTCAGAGAACTGCATCGTGAGATTATTGTTGCAAGTGCCGCCGGTTAAGGACGGGCATGAGCCCGTCATAGGCGTGTCCATGTAGTAGGACAGGGCTGGCACAGCATTCCCATGCACTGTGAAGCCATCCGAAGCCATGGCTTCAATGCCCGGAACGGACTTGCCACCAAGATTTCCGAGAGCATCACTCAAGGACACGTTCGAGCAAGACACGCTAGTTACAAGGTACGCCTTGAAGGGACTCGTAGAGCCTTGGACATCCGCCATCATCGCCTTGTAGGGAGAAGATGCTGCAGCAATCTCCGACTCAACTGGAAGGTAGAGAGCCGACATGTCGAGGGCTCCGATCATGCTCAGCAACTCCTGGGTCACGGTGTCATTGGCAAGCGACGGCGCCGACCCATCGCCGCCCAAGGACGCCTGTGCGTTGTCGATCTGTTGCATGATCGGATCAAGGGCGAAGGTGAAAATTTCTTCGCGGATTGTGGAGCTCTCACCAAGATTGGCCCTGGTCTGGTTCATGGGCGGGATGTCGACGATGTCAGCCAGATTTCGGCTAAAGCCAGGGTCCTGCGCCGGATGCTTGAGGCTGAAGCACCTGTCCGCTATCTTCAGTGCCATCTCAACTTCTGGGGTGACATCAGCGCCGACGGCAGACAGCAGGTCAGCACCCGACTCCTGATCAAAGTCGATCATGACGAGACAAAGGCCACTGCCGAACATAGCCACGATGACCATGATGCCAGCAATCAACAAAACGATCATTGCATAGATACAAGCACTGCACGACACGCATCCACTACAGAACCGGACACAGCAAATGTCTGGCTTCTCTCCCTGGTTGTCCTTTGCTGACCACAGGGCCAGGGCAATCCAAGCGCTGAGAGCGATGAGCAAGTAGAAGGAAAAGAATGCCAAGACTGCAGACTGCAACATGGAATTCTCACCAGCAACCATCGCGGTAGATTGTTGAAAGCCGCCACTGCCGGGTTCCACGAAGAAGCCAACCTGCTCGACGAAGGCGTCCTTGGCTGCCTCAATGGGCTCCATGGCTTGCGTGATGGAGACGCGGAGGTCCTCGGCAGCCGATCCTTGAAGGTTCCTGGGCTCTTCTTAAGGAAGCTAATTTAAGATACCATACGAGGGATCTATGGTAAATAATATGGTTTCCTTATTATAGTAACTTCTCTTAAATCAAAGTAAATCCCTTAAGAGCCCAGGTTCTCTTCGATCTTTCCTCTCAGCTGGGCCATGGCCTCACCCGTACTTCTCCCGAAGACATCCTTGATCCTTCCCAGGATCTCAGCCAGGGGCTCACAGACCTGGCACTTGTGGTACATCGTGGGAGACGATGGGTTGCTGGGGTCGGCCACAGGATTGATATTCACAGGGTCCTCCATCATCGTCTGGAGGGCCTCCATCGTGCCAGCTGCAAGGTTGACCGCCTTCTGAATGTCCTGCGTTTGATGGATAATTGTGTTGAGCTGCGTCAAGAAAGACGAGCCTGGATTTAAGATCGTTGCCAATCCGGAAAGTGTGTTGTACGCCGGCAGAAGCCCCGTAAAGTCATGCTCAGGGGAGCCCGCCACCGCATCCTGGATCAAGACGGCCGCCGAGCAGGCTGTGCCAGAGATGCCGTTATCGATACTGGTGGCACCAGACATGGAAATGGAAACCATGACGACCGCGGCAACCCCGAATGTGACGAAAAGAAACCAGAGAATTCCTTTGAAGACCCTTCCGGTTGCCCACTTGCGCTGGCAGCATTGGCAACACATCCTGCAGCAACAAGGGCAGCAAACGAACCAGAAGCACAGGACCCACAGCACAAAGAGCAAGATCGACAAAACCACGGCGAAGGCCTTTCCGGCCACAAAGCCCGGGTCTGTGATCTCTGCAAAGCGGTCGGCGATCTGGTCGACGTTGTCACCGTTGTGACGTGCGATACCTGCTTCTTCAATGAGCGTCAGGATAAAATTGTCTTCACCTGCGCCACCTTCCAAGTCTTCCCGCTCCTTATCGATGTCCAGCGCTGGTAGCGATTGGGTGACCGAGCAGTATTTCTGCACGGTCTCTGCGGCGTCGGCCAACACCTTGTCGTCCTGGGCTGTCTGCCCAAAGGCCACCACAAGGACTGCAAAGACCGACAGGAGTCGCATGCTGGACGGCAGGTCTTGAAAGAAGCAGGCAGGAAACTTCACGTTTGTTTGAGCCGTGATGTCGCGGTGTAGATCCTGGATGTTTTGAAGAGGTTTTGAGTTTGAGCCGGCCGAAGTTCAGTGAAGGGACTCCGAAAACACGTGGGGCACACTGCCGCTCAGGTGTGCCTGTGACATCCTTTCATAGAGGAGGTATGGCCGTGCTTTTCTGCAATTATCAGGCATGCCCGAGGCCTACTTGTGGACACGTCTTGTTGCAGTGCAACGAATGCGCGCTACAACTGCACATGCTTGCCACAGGCCTCCAGTGCGCGAGTCTAGAGCATAGGGCTCTGAGAAGCACACCAAACCTCCTCCAGCTCAGTCCTGGACATAAGCTTCTGGGAAATTCGGTCCACGTGGCTCTGGCTGAAAAAAGCCCAGAAACGGCCAGTGCTACCTCAATCCACAGTCTGATTGACGATCCCGCCTGCTTGGCACGACCCGCGTTGCGTGGCACGTCTGAGAGAACCTGGCGATGGCCTCAAAAGAGATCCCCGTACGCTGGCGCTCCCAGTTGTCAGGAAAGTAGCGGTAGCGCTTTCAAGCTAGAGCTACCATGAGCCAAAAGCAGGACACTGGACGACAAGCAGCAATATCAGTAACGACAGCAAGCAGAGCACTGCCCATCACGACAGCTACAGCAACAACGACAGTGCCAACAAGGGCACTAAGCAGAAGCACAACCTGACTAACACAGACATAATCCGATGCATCATCGTCATTCACCATCAGCCACCAACCAGAACAACAACAACAACAACAGCAACAGGAAAAGAAGGAACACCAGCAAAAAAGGCCCCTCGGCTCAATAGTAGCAGTAGCAGTAGCAGCAGTAGAAGTAGTGAAGGAGTAGTGGAGGTAGTCGTAGTAGTAACTTAGTAGCCCTCGCGGACACAGGGAACAAACATGCATTGACGCAACATGAACTAGTTAATATCATTGAGCAGTGCTGGCAACCCTGGCGCTCGGCCGCAATGATTGTCAAGTTTTCCAGCTCAGGCTCGAGCTTGCTCAGATTCGATCTGCTGCTGCCTGCTGACAGCAACTTCCGGCATAATCTTGCCTGGCAAGCTGCTTCAAACTTTTGGAGGTTTGGATTGGGAGTTCAGGGCAGCAATGCGAAAAATGCTAGTGGTCAGTTTAGCACAAGACGTCGCTCGCCAAATGTGAGTTGGGGGGATGGTCGAGTTTTCGAATTACCTCTTTCATTTAGCACTTCTGGCGTAGCTGGCCCTGGACGATGCGGGAAATGGCACTTTGCAGAGTCTGATTTCCTTTTCTCGGTTTTCTACTTTCAGTCGGGTCCGTGTTCTCGGAGCGCGACATTTTCGGGCATCCCGGGGCAGTCGTATTTCTGCTGCCACTTTCTCATGCAGTCTGGGTGTGTGCAACAACGAATCTATCCCAGAAGCCGGGGTTCTTGCTTGATGCAAGAAGCTCCTTAGGGTGAGGCTTGAGGCTGCGAGAGCGACAGACAGTGAGAGTCAGGGAGATGAAGAGACGGTTAGTGTTGTCGGCCATTGTCGGCCTCTGAGTGCGAACTTGTGTCGGTGCTTGGGCAATGAGGCTTCGTGAAAGCATTTTGCCACAAATTAATCAGTTATGCGCTCGATAATGCGAAATGAGGCTCGCAGACCAGCTAGAAAAATCTTCAAGCAGTGGCCACTGTGCTTCCGTTGTCATGCCGCGACGGAGTGGGTGGAATGCCCTGGAGTCCCCAAAGATTTTAGTGTTTTCGCTGGTTTGGAACGAAAATAATTTTGGAAATAGCCGAATAGCACAACACTTGCCAGTGTGCTCCGCTCGAAGCCAGGTCATGTTAAATGAGTATCCCTCATGCCATATAAACTAGACTATTAGATAAGATCTTCGTCTGTGCAAGCATGCGAACGGCATTCGTTCGACAGCATGAGTAGGATTCGCTGTTGTGGTGGTGATGCATGCTGATGATAGCGGGACACGTGTATCCGCGAAAAAAGTGTGGAGTATGCATCAGTATGCAGTCATTGAGATCAAAACAGGGGACTTTCTGCAGCGTACCACTCTGTAAACAAATGGGGAAGGCTTGTAGAATATCTTATGTCTATGGTGCTGGTCACATTTGTGATTATGACGATGACGATTATTATTGCTATCATTTTTGGTTTCAATGTCATCATTATGGCTACTTCGAGTATGCATCAGTACTATTGTTAAAGAAAACATCACTGGCTGGCCTGATGGTTCCGCAGGAGAGAAGGTCTCCAGCAGGAGATCCTGAGCATGTCTGCGCGGCCCCTGTATGTATGCTCTGCGACTTCTCGGATACCAAAACTACTGCTCGACTCAAGGCTTCCGGTGATGTCCTGTAGGTCGAGGATCTTGTCAAGCCAGGGCGCCTGATTGCTTTGGCAGCATGTTCTCAGGGTCCGAAGAGGCTCTGTCAGGGAAAGGTCTTGTGGGGGAGGGACTTGCGAGTGCTGCGAGGCAAATCCCGAAACGCAGTCTTTCAGAGATTTGTGTTGAAACCAGCATGCAGCCCTGTAGGGTCAGATTCATCCTGAAGATGTTTGGGTGATTACCCGTGTTACTCTGCACGTGCCGGGGTTGATGCTGGCACTTAGATGCCGGTGGTGGCGGCGGCTCGCATGACTCATAAAGGTCCATGCTGCTTCCTTTGACCGAGGCTACCATATGTGCGGTTAGGCAGAAGCAAGAACAATGACAGGCACTCCTGTCGGTTTCAACAAAGACATGGTGCGACTTTCCTTCAACATACCACTGAGAACAAAAGAAATAATCCTGGCAGAGCTGGCGAGAACAAAAGGCACACAAAGAACTACTCGGCAAGCTGCTGGATTTCCAGCCTGGCTGAAAGCGCGATAGGCGCGCATGCTGCAATCTAGGCCTGTCAGCTCAAAATTGAATCATTCTTACAGCACATCCTTATCCTGCGGAATCCTGGCATCCGTGTTCCGAGCCGGCCCCCCCAGCACTACACAGGTGTCTTGCATTTGGCCTCTCTGTACGGGGCGCAGACGCAACTTTGTCTTGGGCATCGAGCCACACGGCGGCGGAAGCAACCACATATCAAAAGCTCTGAAGCAAATCTCTGCCCATCTGCAAGCGCGGAGTCAATCAGTCCGACGGATTCTGTCCAAATTCGCTGCCCTGCAGTTTAATTCGGAGGTTTCTTATTCACTTCTTGAAGTGCATCACGCCTGCTGAAGTACCAATGTAGAGGAAGCAGCAGCTCTCTGCAAGTAACCGCGTCTCTCGGACCCCAGCATCTCCCCGGTTGAAGTGGCAGGCCACCTGGCACTATGTAGAGAAAGGTTTGAAATGTCAGCGTGTTTGCATTCGCCTGCTATCGTTTGTCTGCACTTGTCGCCACTTCAACATGCATGTTGCCCTACGGCGCTCTCCCAGATCCCTAGCAAGCCTGGCTCTGGCGAGAAGGCTGGAGAGCACTGTGGGAGTTGAAGCCACTGTACCTCGGCTTGGTGCTTTTGGCGCATGCAGCGGGATGCCGCTTCGTCCATCTTCCGCAAGCATCCTCTTTTCCCGCACTGGGATGTGGCGGCGAGGCTTGGGTCACTAAGGCGGCAGAAATCGGCAGAAGGCCGTCTCTCAAGGCGCCGTCTTGCAGGATTCCTTCGACTTCTCATAGCCCCACTTGTTGGGGAAGTAGGTGAATCCTCAGGTGATCTCGTCAGTGCGCTTCAACATGTGGTTGTCAGAAGATGCCAAAAGCTGTCTAGGCGGAGCATGAAATGACCCAGTGCTAAGCCAGTCCTCTGTGTCTCTTCTCCCTCAAACAGCTGGTGCAGCGCGGGCCGTACCTGTCTAAGACGATTGGGGTCTCAAACAACTTGCAGCTCGCTCGCAGTTTCTAGCCTTTCGAGCTCACATGCTTGCAATACTGCCTGTTGTCTCCTGAGCTTGAACTATAATGTATCCCTCAGCGGCTCTAGAGGCCTGAGTCGAAGGCCAAGCATTCTGATGAAGCGTATCCTGCCGTCATTGAAAGCGAAAGAGGAGTTTGGTATGGTGCATCACAAGGTTGCTAGCTAAGCCTGGCCTGGCCTAGCATTCAAACAGGCGCATGCAAAGCAGCAGCTCAGAAAGAACCCGGATCAGGCAAGCATGCTCGAGTCCAGTAGTCTCTCGCTGGGATCGGGTCGATGTCGCTGACTTGGCACTGTGAGAAAGTGATCCCAGACATGAACCTCAGCACAGGCACAAGGATTGAAAGCGAGCCGTCGGCTTTGATCTCCATGGACTCCGGACAATGCTGCGCCAAGGATGAGCGAAGTACTGAAGATGAGAAGGAGAGAATGACAGAATCGTGCAGTGTGGTAGCGTTCTACGACACAGAACCGCTCAAATGAGCTTGACGAAAATCACGAAACGCAGCCAGCCGGCTGCGTCGGGGATTGTGTTGACTTCTAAAGAACACAGCTTGGATTTCTGAACGCCTTCATGCTGGACTTCACAGTGGCCTGCACAGGCAGGTGGGTAATCTTGCCTGAGACTTTAAGTAGAACATAAGCTCAATGAGGGAACAAAGGTAGCACCGACATGTGCTAGGACGCTGATCTGGGCGGCTGCAGGCGTAGGCAGCTCTGAAATGCATCCTAAGAGGCTTGTTCAGCATCCCTCGGTTCTCCTGCGACTGGGACGTCGGTGCACCCGAACAGGGGGCTGCAAAGCTGAATCGATGCCGACTATCCGAGAGGACATCAGAGCAGGGACAATTCTGTGCATACCTTCTTTCGGCTGAGCTCTGATGTTTTTGACGTTGATTACAACTGCACAGCAGCCAGTTGGTAGGAACCAGAGACGGGCTAGCCCTGCTTGTGCGGGCTGACCGGACCTGAACCTTGGACTGGGCAAACGTGTGTCCTTCTCATGCATGAGGAGGTCAATGATGCCGAAACTAAGCACGTAGAGGATATCGCCCTGTTGCCTTTTCTTTCAGGCAGGGAAGAGCCAAGCAACAGCCCCAATCCACACCAAACTGTCACAAGGTCCGGAGGCAGACTAGAGCACTTGAAGCAAGAGGAGAGCAGTGGCTCAGGGCTTGGAGATGCTTGTAGGCTACCTCCATAACTGAGGCCCGGCACTTGCCCTTCGATCTCTCCAAAGGACTCCAAAGGCCAACCAGCTTGCGACTGGGAGGCATGCTTGCCGTATTCCGCGTAGCAAAGGCCCATGGCTTCTCCAAGTTCAGGAGCTGGACGTCTCAGCAAGTGTCGATGCAAACAAGACATGCTGACATAGAGCCAAAAACTCTTGCGTTCCGCAGCACCACCATCGTCTGAGATTTTCGTGCAATCGGGGATCTCCCTTAGCCCTTGCTTTGGGTGCACGTCGTGTATGTGATGTATGTGTCGCTTGCCGTGGAAAAGCACATGGATGTGTGGGTGCACAAAGGTGCCTTGTATTATGATGTATACCTCCGTGTGTGTATGTTCACATGTTTGTCCATACTGATGTGCATGTCCGCGTGCCGAAGCACGGGGGGGATTAGCATTGCTTCTTGGTCCCGTTCCAATACACACCGAAGTGAGTTTACGAATGTTTGTCTAAACAGCGAGCACAGTCTGATCTTCTGCATCCCGGCTTAGCACCGGCAATCCTGAACATTTCACTCGCAACTGCAACTGAAGGAAACTGATGCTACACATGTCCCAAGAGCCGAAATCTCGAGCCCAGGCGCCGGCGTTGCCCTGGAATCGCGCCACATGCAACATCAGCGAGTAATCCATGAGACCTCGATTTGGGAGGGGGTTGACGAGCAGACCAAGCCAACATTCCGGATTCTGGAAGTGGAACTATTGAGGCTTTGTGGAATATTTCGCGTGCGTCTGAGCTCCCAGGGACACAGACGTTGACATGTTCAAAGAAGTGTTCCTTTCAATTTTGGTTTGTTTGTCTCGTGTGTGTACGCGCTCTTTGTGGTCGATGTTCCTGTTCACAAATAGTTGGTCAGTTGATCTGAGCCGCAAGCCTCGTCAGTTCATTCTGTGCTCTGATACTGAACTATTGGGACAGGCCCCTCTAGCTACATCGACCTTTCGAGTTGGCCCACGTCGAAAGCTTACTGAATGAAGGTATGCGAAGGCTCGAACTCGTGCAACCTCCCGGAGAAAATGTCTAGATCACAAAGCATGAAAGCAAACCTGCCGTGCGCACGCGCACACACACACACACACACACACACACACACACACACACACACACATAGATACACACCGACACACGCACATGCACATGCACCACTCACCATTCCTGCCCCTTGGCTGGTTGGCGTACTTAAGGTATATCGCATAGATACGTACGCATGCAGTGGAGCCGTAGAAAGCCCCTCTGCAGCTGCAGGCCTAGCCCCGCGAGCAGCTTGGAGTCGTCGTGCAGTGTCCTCTCGGGTCTCGGGATTCCGAAATCACTTTGCAAAGCCCGGGCCCGCTCACTGGTACTACGTCACTCCGTCTCAAATCCCCGCACGGCTGGACGAAGTGGCCCCTGAGCGCCCCACTTCGCGAAGAGATCGCGGCCTTTGCCACCTGGCGACTACAGTGGTTGCACGTGCACTTGCCTCTGCAAGCTACTCACCCGAATTATGATAGATTCACAGCTGTTGCTCTGTCTTGTGCTTCGCTGTTGCAGAGATGCTCCGTAGTCTCACGGCTATTACGGACTGTGTTGCCGTACTTGCCATGCTTGCTATCCTTACTGCCGTTGCAACTTTGCGCCACGCGCCATGATATAATCAGTATGACGATTTGCACATAAGGCTGAGGTAAGGCCGTCCGCTATTAACTTTTAATTCTGAACCCAAGAATCAGCACAGCACATTTGGCCTACAGGTCACGGCGTTAGGGACCCAGGAAGTCTAGAGTCTACATCTTCCGTCTGTCATCGCTTCCAGAGCTGTTGCTGGGAAAGGCTTTGTTGAGGAACCGGAGATGTTCCAGGCAAAGCCGCTTGTGCCTTCAGCCCTGGACCACAGGACCAGAAGTCACATAAGCCAGCGACTGCACCGCACGCATGGCTGTGATGCTTCAGTACATGTAAGAAGCAATCGCATCAGCACGTCAACACCCTCATGGTCAGCAGCATCAATGCAAGCCCAGTGCACGGTGTGATCTATGGGCCAGAACATTTGCGGAGAAGCTCTTGCTTCGTAGCCGCTGTTGCAGATTTTGGAGGTGGTGAGGGCAAACCATGGATCCTGCCTGGGTAGACCTGCCCGGCTTCTTGCCCGCCAGGCAGCGTGACCTCGTGCCAATACAATAATGAATTCCTATGCATGTTGCAGGCTTAGCACAAGTACAAGTGATATTTCAGCAGGGGCGGCCTCCTTCTCTTCCCTCTCTTGTTGACTTGCTGCTTTCAGCTTGAGAAGCCAAAGCCGCCGCACTAGAGATGCGAGCTTATGCCATTACAAAAAAGAACGTCTGTGGGGGTCAAGCCGAGCAACTTGCTCGAAGTATAATCCGTGCGAGAAGTTCCTCTTGAAGTTGCGGTCCTTCCAGACCTGCTTTCGACATCTTTCGACCACTTGTGAAGAACAACCAGAGACAGCCTTCCACGGTAGCCACGGGTAGCGCACTTGCATGTCGAATGCTAGTCTGACTTATTGTGATTGATCTGCTGTGCACCTCTCCATCATTCTGGTCTGACGCCTAGGCATCTGATGCTTCGAGTTCCTGACACATGGCGCTCTTGATGTCCGACCGTGCATAAGTCAAACGACCGTTCATTTGCCGCATATCGATGCGCTTTCCAGAGGTGCAGCTACCTTCATCCTAGAACGCCCGGGGGAGTCTGGGATTACGGGAAGGCCGCCGTCTGTGTTCTGCTGCCACGCCTGTTCCTCGATGGAAGCCAACCGGTTGTAGTAGGCCCAGTTGCCCTTCAAATCATAGAGCTTCTGCCAGGGCTCCTCCTCTGCGCCTCAGCTCTGCCGAGCGCTTGCATCTGAAGCCGCTGCAGAGCTTCTCGTCGTATCAGATGCAACGAAGAATGGCAACCGCCACTCTCCAAAACTTCAAGCTCGCAGGCAAGAGTCCTCGCAATCTCATGTTAAGCGCGACTTGCAGATAGTGCAGGGTTCCATCCACCTTGCTCAAGACATCTGTTGCAGGTTGCATGCGTGCTCCTATGTAAGCCTTGTCTTAGATGGGCCATCCCGCAGCTGTGTCTTGCTAAGACAAGCTGGCCCACTCCTGGTTCTCTTCTTTTCTGGCTGAGAGACAAGGCGATTGCAATGTGGTCTATTCTCGCCCGCGGTTGTGTGCTCTGTGTATGCGAATGTGGAATGCTACCGAGGAGCATTAAACAACAGGCTGCGGCACGTTGGCACAAGAAATGTGTCGCGCCTGGCATCAAGACTTCAGCATCGGTACAGTTGCGAAACATGTGCCCGCAATTTCCCACGGCCAAGCGCTGAGAGAGGAGTTGTACAGCAAGGACAGGCTGCAGCACATGTGGCCTGGAGCCCCGAAGTTTCTGCAGCAAGCGGCCCAGCTGCTTGTGCTCTGCCCTTAGAAGAGCCGGTGAAATGCACCAAATCTTGCCAACGGAACAAGAACATGTTCGGTAGCCGAGGCGCTTGTCGATGACTTTTACTACCTGGAAACGGGAAGGAAGAAACAGCTAAACGTCACGTAGGAAATTGACCGAGTTACCAAGAACATATGATCCCAGATATCAGCAAGTCACCCGATAGCTCGGTGCATTTCTTCAATGCCCTGTTCTGCTACTTCATGGTATACTGCTCCCTTTTTTTTTTACCAAACCAAGCACTGCTTAACTGGTTGGCTTTACTGTACACTTCCACTGCACCTTTCTCGCAGACATGTGGATCCAACTAATTTGCCTATGCTCCTGCATGCCTTCTTACAGCTGACCTGCGTCATTGAAGGGCTATACAATACCGTGCCTACTGCTTACCAAGTAGCTGCGTATGTGCTTGCCTACGTCTTTCACTTGGCGCTAACAGATCAGCAATGTTTGTCAGCAAGACACGCGGCCGAAGAGAGGTAAGCCAGGAAAGCTCAGCCGAGAGCCCAAACAACCAGCGCCTACGTCAAAGCAACAGCACCCCCACACCCAGCTTCTAAAACACACACCATAACCTAATTATTCCAGTCTTGCAGACTCGACAGTGTCAGGAGCAAAACAAACGTAGCTAAACGGCAACCGGCTTGCAAGTTGACCTTATCAAGATGCAAATCTGGCAGACACCAGTGGCTTTGTTCCGCTCTTCCTGGGCGGCAGAGAGGCATCGGAATCTACATCTACGAGTAGCAGGTACTTTCGGAGGGAGAAGGCGAACACTGGGCACATCCGATGACCCATCTTGATGCACTACGCAATGACCCCAAACCTGTCAAGTCGGACACCGCTCGGAAAGCCTAGCTTCCCGCCCTCCGCTTCGGATGTACCGGAGTGCACATCCTCGACGATCTCGGCCCTCGGTGGACTCGTGTAAAGGAGATGAGCCGCCCAGCACGAAGGCGGCTAGGTTTTCGGATTCTGGAATTCCGAATTCTCCGTACAGGCATGTACGTAGTGACATCATCAAAGCCAAAGAACTACTTACAACCTCACGAGGCGGATGCTGGCACAAAGGTCCATTACAAAGAAGCGACGTTCCGATAGCCGCTGGAATGTGGAACAACGCACCAACACAAACAATACACACATATCGTCTATCCCGACTGCTACAGGTGCTGCTATTGCCGGTGCCGTTGCACTTGCTATCGTAATAATCTTTCGGCCTGTCTCTTACTGCTAAGATGCAGGCAAACATCAACATGCAACCAGATCAAAACACCATGCCAGCATCGGTGCACTTATGTCAACGACATTTTGCCGCACAGAGTGGCAAGGAACCAAAACTTGAAAGTCGTGGCGAACTGGTTGCGTCTACTTTCTCAAGTCTTCTCTGTCAGGTTCGAATTTCCAGAGTTGAGGCGGAACATGAGGTGATCAGTATGCTGCAGCCTCGGCACAGGGATTCGGGACAGCCGCGCCTGCCCCAGCTTCCGAATCTCGGACCGAAGTCCTGCTGACGATGGTCCATGTCTATTTGTCTTGAAAATCAACCAGCGAGCTTTTCGACTACAACAAGGCATTGTAACATACCTCTATCATGTCTTCGGGTATGCCGAGACACATAGTAGAAAGAGCCATCTTGTGTTTTGTTGTGAAAAAACACTTGTCGAACTCGATATCCAGCAGGGGCAATATAACACATCACGAGGGCAGACACAACAGCACCTGTTTATGTACAGCAGAACATCGCAAGACATGGACCAACCGGATCAGTATACCCGGACTCAAAGCATTATAGCTAGATAGTGTGATAGACCGCGCGGAATTTGTCAACCAGGCCCAGATGTAATACTGTATGACCATATGGAAAAGCATCATGGCAAGTTTTTCAGCATGCCAGGTTCACAGGGAGCCAGGATATGCAGCAAGCATTAGCGCATCAACAAAACTATAACATGCTAACACAATCTAAACATGATAGTGAGACATGGCGTCTGCTAGCACCTTTTGTTGCCCTCAGTGTCCGACAAGTCTCTGATGATGCCTGCCAGCAAATCAAAGCATAAGGTCCCATGATTATACATACGTATGCGCACCCCCATGCAGCACCTACAAACTGCGCAATGACATACCATACGTTACGTCCACGAAGTACGTTACACTGCAGTGCGCGGCATACATACAATGACAGCATACATGTATATTGCACAACTAGCACAGGTACTCGCACAGGATAACACAAAACGTCAAAATCATGACACAGCCTATCACAACATAACCCTGTGGCAAACATACATACATCCATCCGCGCATACAAACATGGAATGCACTCAATAGGCTGCACACATTGCATCATTTACATCCACTTCTACCACTATGTACCATGATATACATATGATACACAAAGCTATAGACCTTGCATACATAAACTATGCGAATGCCGTGACCTTGCGTTGCGTTACCGCGAACAGCATGCACACCAGTGCACGGCTAACGTGCATACACCCGAAACAAACAAAACCATATGTACAAACATGCATACAGCCATGAGCACATGCATACATATCCAGCAAAACATGACATAACACCACCACATGGACACACAACCGTCGGACCATAAACACATGCAGTCAAACATACTGATGTGCACACACATCAAAACAGGTCGATGTACATACGCATACATACATACATACATAATTGCATGCACACATCATACATGCATGGTCATACAGACAAACATCAGGTGAAATGACATGCCGGGACAACATGCGACAACACATAATATACATTGCCTGACATGCATAGCCTGCAGAACACACACATAACATGCATCTCAAACCAAAATACAACGCGCATGCATGCATGCATGCATGCATGCACGCGACCTGACTCACTTGATACTTACATAGATACATCCAGACATACGTGAACACGTGCATACATACGTACGGACATACATGCACACACACACACACACAACACATGCAGTAGCCGCATAACATACAGACATTACAGACATCAACATCATAACTTGCCATATAACATGCGTGAACATACGTATATACCGGCCTGCCGACCTGCCTACAGTACCTACCAGCCCACCTACCAATGTAGCTGCCTACCTGCCTGATTCATACCTACCTGTGCAAGGCGCAACTCACAGCAACCTCATAAGTTCATCCCGAAAATAGCACAGAGTATTTGCACGCAAGATCATGCAGGCACATAGAAGGAATCGCATAAAAGGCTCGAGTGCGGCCTGCTATCCGAATTGGCCATTCGGACTGGGAAGCTGACTTAGGACATCTTTGAACCACCCCTGCATTGGAGCAACACGTTGAGGTAACTGTATACATGAGACAGACAACTCGATGTTTTGAACCTATTCTGGATCTCGAGGCCCTCTAATCTAGGGACACGAGTCACCCCAGTCGCCCCTTGCTTCTTACCATCCCAGACTTGCTCCTGGCACGCTGAGTTCGGAGCTTCACTGGAAGCCGAGAGCCAGTCTGCCACTCGCGCCGAAGTGACGTTGAAGGTACAAGCCTTCGGTGTTGGGTTCTCTGCTCTGCTACTGGAATCTGCCATCTGCTGAACTGCACAGTAGTGATCAGTAGTGCTCCGCATTTATTTGACTTTCCAGGCCTCAGCCTGAAAAATGAACAAATATGAGATCGTTGCCTCGTCATCTTGATCCTTGTCCCCGGCATCCTTCCCGTCCTTAGCAAATCGAAGCTTCGCAGGTCAAGCCGTGGTGCGTATGTCCAAGTTTCAAATTGTGGGCAACTCCAGACAGGAAAACGCTCCACGCAAGTTTGGCCCTAGAGGCGTCAACAGCGAGTTTAAAGGATGGGGCGACAACAAACACTGCACAATTCAGCACAGGTTGCTGTGGTTAGGGAGCTGCCGTGCGCTTGGCTATATGGCGGCATCTGAGGCGAGTAAACATGACAGTCGCAGTAAGAGCACATCACGCAACCTGACACTCCTTCATGGCGGAGCGTCGGAGTGATGTGCGTCGTCCTTGCAGGGCCGAGGATAGGAGACTGTGCTTCGAGTATAGCGCCGGGCTGCTGGCTGGCTTGCCGAGATGCGTTTATAAACTCGCCATGACATGACAAGTCTTGGGTGTTGAGATGCAGTGCATCTTAGGTCGCGGGCAGCCACGGCAGCAAATATGCACAGATAGGGTAAACTACCTTCGAACTCGTAGTATAACGACAGCCATTCAGGTCGGACATGCATCTGATGCATGGTGATTGTGATTGACAATTTCTGGACTTGTGCACAGATGCAGAAGATCCGGCACCTCGTCATCGTCAATATATTGCAAGACCTCGTCAACGTACTTCTCGAAGTCCTGCTCCGAACCAGTGCAGGCACTGTCCCATTCCGGGTCTATTTTCGTGCATTCACTTCATGCCGGCTGAAGATCCTGGTTTCGAACTCCCTGCATCGAGCCACCGGGGATCTTTGTTCTTGCAGGTGAGTCTTGAAGGGGGCCGGTCGAATTTAACTCGGGTAGCACAACAAAGCAGGGAGATTATTATTCAGCAAAACCGGACTGCAAGTCTAAAAGCTCTGCACTTCTCGGAAAAGATTGCTCCTCGTCGCTCAGGTCTTTGAAGTCCGTCTCGTCCTCGTTCTCTGCCTCGTCCTCGTCCTCCTCTTCTTCATCTCCCTCGGCATCTTGCCGAAAAGAACTACATGTTGGGAAGAGTCACTTCCAACTGCTTGATGAAAAACTGACTCAGGCTTCGAGCAATCACCACGAAATCCTGCTCAAGCCATGGGCATGAATCATCCAGCCTCCTCTTTCCGGAGGTCCGCAATAATTCCGTCTATAAACTCCTGCCATGAGATGTGCAACCGCTCAAACCTTGGCAGTGGCTTCGCTCTGCTCAGCCCCCATACTCTATACCTTTTCGCCGAAAAGCAGGGGCATTAGCAGTACACGTGCTACAATCACCACGGCTGCTGCTGCTGCTGCTGCTGCTGCTGCTGCTGCTGCTACGATGACGACGCTACTTCTGGCGCTGGCACCAGTGGAGCGGCTGGAAGTACTGGAACGAGTAAAGTTAGGAGTGCTTCAGGAAGAAATGTGACATGGGCACAGGCGCACATGCAAGGTCACACGCCCGCACTCCAAAGCGTGCACTGGTCCTCGTCTAGAATTTGGTCTGGATCCTGCCAATATCTGACAGATGGATCTCAGATGGATTTAGTGCTTCATAAGAGGTGAGCTGCCGAACGGAAGCCGTGATGTAAAAATGTGCTTGACGCCCTTTAGAAAAAATCCTGAAGCATGTTTGGCGACGCCCTATGCATTTGATGAGAGACTGTCCGCGTGTGGCGCAAAGTATCCAAGACTCTTTGGTCTTGGCGAGTGCAGAGCGCCAACACTCCACAGCGCTACACTTCTCGACTTGTGTGTGCCATCTTTGTGCAGGGGCCATACTGATCTCTCTGTCTCGTTCTAATTTCATCGGATGATCCCGGATTTTCTCCTGGGGTTTTGCGTAGCAGTAGCAGTTCGCTGCTCGAACATGGTTTCTTTGCCTCCTGCACTGCTGAAGGTAGGAGGGTCAGTGCGCATCCGTTTCCGGGTCCACTGCGCTTTCGTTCAGACTTTCCGGTCCAGTGTGACGGGTGAGGGGTGCCGGGGGGTGATAGCGTCCACGCGGGTCCAAAGCACAGCCCGGGGCGGGGGTGGATGACGTCCGGCTGAAGCGTGGAGCAGACAGAGAGCACACAGTGGTAAGGCTCGCGGGGGGGACGGGGGCAGTGCACTCGACCCTCTGAGGCCTGGATGTTTTGCAATCGCCCACTCTTGAAGTGTACAGTCTCGTGTTGGGGCAGACTTGTCGGTACTGGCTTCCCTGTGCATGTCTTGGCTTCTCAAAGCTTTGCTGGTTGGTTTGGGATGTGGGGTTCCTGCGTGACGCGGTGTTCCAATCCTGTGACACTCCTTGTCTAGAACACGCCTGAAAAGCTTGCTCGCCATTTACTTGGATGCGTATTGTCGTTGGTTTGTCGAGCCCGTGTAGCTTGACATCGGGGTACTGTAAGCTTAGGGTACTATAAGGGTACTATAAGAATGAGGCACAACCCTCTCCTCGACGCCGCTGCCGGACTCGTTCACCTTTTGGTCCTATGCTCGCATCCAGGGACGCATCAAAGCATCGACATCAAGAAGTTAGCACAAACTGTCCTCGTAGCGCAAGCTGTCGACAAGCGCAAACAGGAGCAGCCAAGAGATGAAGAAGGACATTGCCGGGCATCAAAGGGCTAGTTCTAGCTAAGCCTTGACGCGATGATTGGAGAACTCCAGCCACATCCGGGGCAACATACTGAGGACATAGGCAGAGGGCAAAAGTGGCACAAGAAACTCGCGACAGCGCGAATTTTGCAAACAACTGAGAGAGCTTGAGCCGACACGGCTCCGAATAAAAGAATGCCCGCCGCAGCCAAACTTGACTGTCTCTAGGACCGGTCTCCTCTAGTGACCAGGACAACAGATCATACATCATCAAGTGACACTCATATGCACCAATGACTATTGTGCAAGTGTCAACGCAAGCTGCGGCTCTGTCAAGGAACTCGGTCCAGCTCTTGCAGGTTGTCACTCTTGGCTCCACGCTGAAGTGACCGCGTGCTGCGAGGACTTTCTGGAACCGTTGCCACCTGGTCATACTGACAATCTGATGCTGTGTGACATTGTCATCATCGGGTCCCTGTTGCGTTGCTGTACAGTATTAGTATACAAAGCATTTGGTGGGCGTTCGTGATGCAGCAATGCAGCAACGCATGTTGGCGCGCTGCCAGGCTCTCGAAAACTCTCGAAGCAGTCAGTTTTCGCGACCGCAGCAGTCAGGTATCCCGCGCACAATACTGAAGCCTTAGACGACTGAAGCCCCATTCCTCCCTTCCATCGAGTTGGGCTGTTCTGAGTCCTGGCCCGGCTTGGGCCTGCTGGAATTCGGCCAGCCGTAATATATGAGCCGCAACATATTCAATATACTCAAAACTAGGACGCCAAGGGTAGCTCCTCTCCAGAACGACTAAAGGTGAAGTCGCGAGCAAACTAGCCTGGGCAGCGCTGCAGCCTGGCAGCGAGGTGCCTGGAAAGATTAGATTCATGGTCCACTCAAGGTTCTACTCAGCACGATGACGACACAACCGGAATGACATCAATCGTCAAAAGATCTTCCAGCGTCACGGCGCGAACTTGGCAAGTCATCTGCGAGCCTGCAGCATTCTGCGCGTAGCGCCGGTGGTAGTCCGGGGTTTGTGAACGAGCACGCCCTGGAGAGGGTGAAGCAGATTGCAAACAACATACCAAGAAAACGGCGCCGCTTGCCCAACTTCTTCTAAATATTACCATCTTCCGCCAACCTAGCCGTGGCCAGCAATTTATGTCTCTGATGGTTTTGTTCCTTCTCAGGTCTGAGCCCATCAAAGCTTCCTCGCCAGCGGGCGTGTCGAAACGCCTGCAGGACTTGGGATTGCACTGGTGCGTTGCCTCCCAGGTGCACTCAGCCTGTGATGCTGTGTTGCATGGCCAGCAGCGGGAAAGTCCTGACAGCACTTTGTACAAGAGAAAGCATGATGTCCCATGATATTGTACGCCTAGTCATGCAAGTTTAAGGTGCAGCTAATGATACATCACCGGGAAAAGTTTCGACATACGGAAAGGTCTTATCAATATGCCATAAGCATATACCGCGGAGAAGCGGAGTGACCACGTGTTCGTTTTATGTGGCCAGTTAATTCCCTGGAACAAAAGTTTACAAGCGCCGAGATCTTGTGGAGGAGTACTGTAATGTTCTCGGCGGAGAGCTTCTGGGATCTTGTGGCGGAGTCTAAGCGGGAAAGGGGGTTGTAGTGTCTCGTGCGTTGGCTTCGAGGCCGTGTGGCGAACTGCTGTCCCGCCGTAGTATTATCAGAGCTATTCATTATTCAGAGCTGATACAGTAGCAACTCCGGTGGCATGTTACCTTCCAGCCGAAGGAGAGCCCACCCCTGTTGCAGAGAGCTGCCAAAAATTTCGTTCCAAGCATCGTTCCAGACAATGCATGAGCAATGGCATGGGTGCGCCGAGTGCACCAAACAAACAACACGCGCAATCTGTCATGTATCAACGGCTCTGCGACAGTCAAGTGCGCCCAGGAGTTGCTCCCGACTCTCAAGCACCCAAGAAGTAGGTCCTGCCAATGCAGCCTGTCAGATGCGGCGCGCCTCTGTCCGTACGGGGGCTCACCTGACCAAGTTCAGCGGTGAATTGGAACTGGCTTCAGTCTGAGCCTGCTGGGCCGAGAGAATCACCGCTGAGGAGGTGACAGAAGTATCTGCACTTTTCGGAAGTCTCTCGCGAAGCCTCGCACTAAAACAGGGAGGAAACTACGACGGAGGGAGCAAGGGCGAGTAGATGGCCCTGGCTCCTGCGTGCAATACTCACCTTCCAGTGACAGTGATCAGTTATGCACGCTCAATGCCTTCGGTACCGGCAATGGGCTGGAGCGTCGACGTGTCACGGTTGCAGGCACGTCAAAGCGGTGCTCCTCTCGATGCGTCATGAACACAACGATCAATGTGCGATCTTGCAGGTCAAGGTAAACACTGAACCGAATGGCATGATCGGACATGCAATCATCCGTTTGTGCTAGGCACATACACGGTCGATGTCCTTCAAACCGCCAGAAGCAGGAGCAACCCAAGGGCAGATTTACTCCTGCGGACACCTTGACGGAGGGGAGAAGAAGAGCAAGCCTTCTGAGCCTGCCAGACAATTGCTGCTCGGTCGAACGGGGATTGGAGCCATCATACTTTCTTTCTTTTTCTTTCTGCCGGGCATAGGGTCGCGGTGCGACCCGCAGGCTGTTAGCCCTCCCGACCACCCCTCGTTTTTGTGAGCGGTCGGCTTTGGGGTACTCCTGACTGTGGCACAGAAGCACCTGCTGGGCTCTCATCCCCCGTGTTGTCTAGGCTTTCTTTCTTTCACCAGGCTTGAGGGCGAACCCCCGTTCGGAACGCCCGTCTGTTGAAGGATTGCATGGCATTACATGCGACAGACTAGGCTACGCTCCGACACTCGTTTTCCCTTGAGTTGGCTGCGATGTCTCCCAGGCTCTCTTCCTTCCTTCCATTGGGGTCGAGTCCCAGGCTCTCTCTTCTTCTCCAGGCTTAAGGGGCGAGTTAAGCCTATGGCCCGCCCGCCTTTTACGGGCTTTGTAGAGGGGAGTCTCTCTGTCTCTCTCTCTCTCTTTCTCTTTCTTTCCCCAGGCTTGAGGGCGTGCCCCCGCGGGAGCAGCCCGTCTGTTGGAGGTGTGCACGGTTGTCTCTCTCTCTCTCTCTCTTTTCTTTCTTTCGCCATAGCCCTTCTCTCTCTCTCTCTCTCTCTCTCTCTCTCTCTTCCGGGCTTGGGGATCACGGCAGCGTCCAGGCCATCACCCCGTGCGCGCGCACACCCTCTCTCTCTCTCTCTTTCTTTCTTTCTTTCTGCCGGGCATAAGGGTCGCGGTGCGACCCACAGGCCTAAGCCCGCCCGACCACCCCCTGGTTTATGGAGTGATCGGCTTCTGGGGTACTCCTGAGCTCGGCACTGTACTACTGGGTGTGTCCCCGACTTTCTCGCTGGCGATCCCCCCCGAACACTAAAACACAACACAACCCCTGCCTCTTCTCCGCGCCCCTATGGCTATCCTATGCGCCAGCAGTTCGAAAGTTCACAGGCTACCCAAATGCAACGGAACAGCCTGCTACAGTCTTCACATGCTGGACCGTGCGTTCTTGTGCATCGTAGGTAAGGTGGTTCGTTCCAGTTACTCGTAGTTAACCATCTCATAAGCAACAACGCGTATTCAACCATCCCCCACCTTCGCTGGTTTGCACTGTGAGACTGGCTTGGGGCTTGGAGGTGTGAGCTTCCGAAAAAGTGCTGCACTAACCTCTCTCTCTCTCTCTCTCTCTCGGGCATAGGGGTCGATCAGGACCCCTGGCATCTTGCCCACCCGATATGATTTATCGGGATGTTTGGGGGGTGAAATCAAGTATAGTCCTCGGTATAAGCTAAAGCCATTCAAGTGTACGATAACAGTGCACCAAGGACGTATACTTGCATTGACACATGCACAACTTGGGTGTCCCCCGTTATCCATACCTTCAACATCGCAACTGATAACATACAATTACACCAGCGAAGACCCCAAACAGAATGCATCGAATCATACCGGTTCAAGTTGGAATGTGTTGGATCCCAATCTGGCTTCGCCAGCAGATTTTGCGAACAAGAATTAGGCATTGGGCGATATATTTCTGCGAAAGAAGAGTGGGTGGTGGGAGTCAAGCATGTGGGAAGGTTTTTGGGAGGGTCCAAAGAGCATCGTTCAGAGGACCTTGCTGCAACACCATGCACAGAAACACGCACATGTCTCCCGCAACTGCCACATTGTTGCCGCCTTTGCAAAACAGGATACCTGGCCTCTGCTGCAAACGTTCGCGGACGAAGTCACAATTTTCATAACATTACCGTTCTGCAAAACAGGATTCCTTGCCTCCGCAGTAGACATTGGAGGAAGAAGCACAACAGAGGGTGCTATATGGATCGGTCGCACGGGAAAAAAGTGAGAACTTTGCCGCGCAATTTTGGCGAAAAAAAGCGCGCACAGGGGTGCGTCGGCTTACAACACAAAACAAAAATCTTTCTTTACACGGAACTTTTCACGACTTTTTCCGCAGACCGAACGAAGATCCATAGAATCTTGCTACCGCAGAAAAAACGCACGGAAAAAACGCGCAACATTGCCGTTTTGCGAGACAGGATATGTGGCCTCTGCTGTAGACGTCTGTGGAAGAAGCACGAAAGAGGTTGGTATACAGATCGGTTGGCTGCCACACGGGAGAAGGTAGGAACTTTGCCGCGCGAACCTGGGAAAATGAAACGCAACGGGGTTTGTCGGCTTACGTCGCAAACAAAAATCTTTCTTTACACGAAACCGTTGACGATTTTTCCGACGACAAAACGAAGAACGTCGTCCACAGGATCTTGCTGCCGCAGAAACCACGCATGGAGAAACACACAAGTTCCCCTTTACACGGAACCATTGACGTTTTTTTCCGCAGACAAAACGAAGAACGTCGTCCACATGATCTTGCTGCCGCAGAAACCACGCACGGAAGAACACACAACCTTCCCGCAACTGTTACAACATTGCTGCCTTGCAAGACAGGATACCGGATACCTGGCCTCTGCTGTAGACGTTTGTGGAAGAATCACAAAACAGGTTGGTTTACGGATCGGTTGGCTGTCGCACGGGGAAAAGTGGACACTTTGCCGCGCAATTTTGGCGAAAAGAAGCGCGCGCAGGGGTGCGTCGGCTTACAACACAAAACAGAAATCTCTCTTTACACGGAACTTTTCACGACTTTTTCCGCAAACCGAACGAAGATCCATAAAATCTTGCTACCGCAGAAACCACGCACGGAAAAAAACACGCAACATTGCCGTTTTGCGAGACAGGATATGTGGCCTCTGCTGTAGACGTCTGTGGAAGAAGCACGAAAGAGGTTGGTATACAGATCGGTTGGCTGCCACACGGGAAAAAGTAGGAACTTTGCCGCGCGAACCTGGGAAAAAGAAACGCAAAGGGGTTTGTCGGTTTACATCGCAAACAAAAATCTTTCTTTATACGAAACCGTTGACGATTTTTTCCGCCGACAAAACGAAGAACGTCGTCCACAGGATCTTGCTGCCGCAGAAACCACGCATGGAGAAACACACAAGTTCCCCTTTACACGGAACCATTGACGTTTTTTTCCGCAGACAAAACGAAGAACGTCGTCCACATGATCTTGCTGCCGCAGAAACGGAAGAACACACAACCTTCCCGCAACTGTTACAACATTGCTGCCTTGCAACACAGGATACCGGATACTTGGCCTCTGCTGTAGACGTCTGTGGAAGAAGCACAAAACAGGTTGGTTTACGGATCGGTTGGCTGTCGCACGGGGAAAAGTGGGAACTTTGCCGTGCAATTTTGGCGAAAAGAAGACCGCACAGGGGTGTGTCGGCTTACAAGGCAAAATAGATATCGTTCTTTACACGGAACCACTGACGAGTTTTTCCACAGACCGAACGAAGAACTTCGTCCACAGGATCTTACTTCCGCAGAAACCACGCACGGAGAACACACACACACATATAACTTTCCCGCAACTGAGTTAATCCGACCCTCAACAGCAGCACAACGATATTGGGGTAGGATCGCCTGGCAAGGCAAGGAAACCCAAAAGGCAAGCCCAACCCGAAGAGGAACACAAGCTGCAAGCGTACCTCTTTTCTCATTACTTGAGCCAAAGATCATGTCATTGGCACATTAAGCTACACAGTCAGACATGTTACCTATACAAGGACAAGGAACGTCGTATTCGATCAACTAACTGTTACAACATTGGTGCTTTGCAAAACAGGATACCTGACTTTTGCTGTAGATGATTGCGGAAGAAGCACGAAGCAGGTTGGTATACGGATCGGTCGGCTGTCGCACGGGAAAGACGGGCAACTTTGCCGCACAAACAGGGCAGAAAGAAAAGCGAAGGAGTCGGCTTACATCGCAAACAAATATTTTCCTTACACGGAACCATTGACAATTTTGCCGCAAGCCGAGCGAAAAACGTCGTCCACAGGATCTTGCTGCAGCAGAAACCACGCACGGAAAAACACACAACTCTTACAGCATTGCTGCCTTGCAAGACAGGATAGCAGACCAGGCGCCCAGAAAGGAAACATTAAAGGGAACCAGCGGGAGCTCAGGCCCTCTGCTGCGGCCCGCCCGTCCAACCCAGGAGCCCAGAAAGGAAACAGGAAGGAAACCCAATTGGCAGCCCAATCCGTTTGCCGCGGCCCACCCATCCAATCCAGGAGCCCAGAACAGAAACATGAAGGGAGGTAAACGGGATTGCCGCGGCCCAAGGAAACATGGAGGGAGCCCAACGGGAGTCCAGGTCCAACCCAGCAGCCCAGAAAGGAAACATGAAGGGAACCCAATAAAGCCCAGGTCCTTTGCCGCGGCCCACCCGTCCAACCCCGGAGCCCAGGAAGGAAACATGAACGGAACCGAATGATAGCCCAGGTTCTTTGCCGCGGCCCACCCGTCCAACCCAGGAACCCAGAAAGGAAACATGAAGGGAACTGAATGGGAGCCCAGGTCCTTCGCCGTGGCCCACGCGTCCAACCCAGGAGCCCAAAAAGGAAACATGAAGGGAGCCCAACGAGAGTCCAACTCAGGAGCCCAGAAAGGAAGGAAACATGAAAAGCCCAATGGAGTTCAGGTCCTTTGGCGCGGCCCATCCGTCCAACCCCGCCCAGAAAGGAAACATGAAGGGAGCCCAGAAAGGAAACATGAATGGAGCCCAATAAAGCCCAGGTCCTTTGCCGCGGCCCACCCGTCCAACCCAGGAGCCCAGAAAGGAAACATGAAGGGAAGTGAATGGGAGCCTAGGTCCTTCGCCGCGGCCCACCGTCGTCCAACCCAGGAGCCCAGAAAGGAAACATGAAGGGAAGTGAATGGGAGGCCAGGTCCTTCGCCGCTCCAACCCAGGAGCCCAGAAAGGAAACATGAAGGGAGCCCAATAAAGCCCAGGTCCTTTGCCGCGGCCCACCCGTCCAACCCCGCCCAGAAAGGAAACATGAAGGGAAGTGAATGGGAGCCCAGGTCCTTCGCCGCGACCCACCCGTCCAACCCAGGAGCCCAGAAAGGAAACATGAAGGGAGCCCAATAAAGCCCAGGTCCTTTGCCGCGGCCCACCCGTCCAACCCCGCCCAGAAAGGAAACATGAAGGGAAGTGAATGGGAGC